AATCCTGTCTTACAACTTATCACTCGGCTTCGAGTGCAAACTTGATAAACACTACACCATCTATTTTCATAAAATTTTATATTCAAACCATTAATAAAATGTTAATATATTGTTCTATTTGAAATATTATTAAATACACTATAAGATTTTAGACAAATATATACGTCCGGATCAAAATATTACAACGCCTCCTATTTTTTTAATTCAATATATAAATCTAGATCATGAATAAAAACAAAATTTAAAAGCCCATTCTAACAATTTGCTACCAATTTTATACATAAAATTATATAGATTCACTTTGTATTTTAAAATTTATTTATAAAATAAAAAAATAAAAGTACATGTATTCCCCTCCACCTCAACCCTTAAGTTTTTCCCGAATGACATTCTAGTACTCCACATTATAGTTTTACTGTTTCCCATCATCTTCTCATTTTTTTAACCATCGATCGTCAATTTTTCGTTCCCTTGCACCAAATGTGTATCATCTACGAAATTTCAAGATTCAAATAAAAACATTTCTTGTATCAATCCAAACAATCACTAAATTAATGCTCACCTCAGTAATCTCGTCGAATCTATCTCTTCCAATCTAGTCAACAACTTTTAATCCGGCTGAATTCACATCACATGTAAAGAGTATAAATTTTATAAAGTCTTAGTCAATCGCTGGTGTCAGACAGATAATTCGTCTGTTGATCTTACAAAAAGCTTGTATTATCAGTCAATATTCTTCATCTTTACTCTCTCATATCATATGTATGTCTCTCTATGGTATAAAACAATCACTCGTTGTCTTTCGGTCACATCTATTTATTCACAAATGTTTTTCGAATTCTTCCAAGTTTGTATGGTTTAACATTTAAGGATCACTTAATGTTAGAAAATATGTAAATAAATTTAATAGAAATGAAAAATGTTTAAATCGCATAGTTATTCACATTCAGATAAATAATTTTCTACCCGTTCATAATATTTAATATAAAAGACACTCAATAGATGCACTCATTACTCGAATTTGGTTGCTAGATGAAATACTAAATTTCAATCAACTACCACTAAAAGCCAAAGATTGTGAAAGCGTATTGGAGGTTATACTGCAAAAGTAAGTGGTTGGGTATTTTGTAGTAAAATCATGATTCACCGTAGTTAAAGCATTTCCTACCACTAAAAACACATATTGGTTGGGTCGGGTATCCGATATTTCTTGTCCAATCGGATAGTACGATAGAGTTTCTAAAATATTGCTAATTGCACAATTAATAAGTTTACTTCTGGTTAGATCTGATAAGCAAAAGTCTTACCTGGTAGGTACTCTAATAAAACAGGGCACACAATAAATCTCAATTGCTCACTCATGACCCTAACCAATCAAATAAGATCCAACATGCACCTAGATCTAGGAAATACATGCTTAACAACTATACAAATGGGGAAAATGTCTACACCGAAGAGAGAAGGTAATGAACTGTAGGGCCACACGTAATTCTAGTTCATCAAATTGATGCTTAGTCATTTTAAGTAATAACGAATATTGAGACCACTTAAAAGGACAAATAGAATGCCATAAATAGGCGTGCACCTTATCCATTATTAAATGAGTTAAGATAGTCCATACACAAACTCATGTACCTGGACATACCATTAATAATGTTTAACCTGATTTCCTAGTATAAATAGAGGCAATGTATCTAGAGAGGGCATACACTAATACAAATTTTTCCCAACAATCAACCTGAAAATCATTTCGTATATAAGTCTCACCAGCCTCCTACGCATAGAACCTTTCTTTCTCTCTTCATATTTTTCTGATAACTTTTTGATACTTTCCCTTCTTAAATGTCATATAATATTATCAAACACCAATACATCCACCTATTCTCCCTCTAATCTAAGCTTTCTCAGTCCACCAGGTTTTTGGCTGATATTGAAACCCACCCGTCACAATCACACATTTTGCAAAATTAGCCTACCATAAACTCCTCTGCGTGCTTGAAATTTGAAATGGGGCATCATGTTTTCCCATTTCACTTTTATATTATGATCAATTTAGAGAATTTGAGTTAGATCTACTTAAAGATTAAAATGAAACTTTTAAATTTTGAGATACGAAAACAATTTTTCTTGAATACTTGGGTTAGTTTGTAAAATTTATTTAATGAGTGAGGTTTATCTACTTTTTCTTTTTCCTACTTAATAATCAATAATTTACCAGAATATTAAAATGAGCTACTTTCTCTATTTTCTCTATTTCCAACAAATGTCAAAGGGAACGTAAAGAAATTACTAAAGCTGATTTTCGAAATGGGTCCACAACAAAATTATGGCTTTGGCATGGTTTAGCCTACACGTATGAAGTATAAAATGTTTCCCAAATTGTCCCTCCACAATACGCTTTGGATGTAGGGAATTTGAAATAGAGCTGGTAGTTTTAATTTTCTACTATTAATTAAAGTGTAGATTAATTCTCTTTTTTGCCACAAATAAATTAATAAGTATAATTATCTCTCCTAATATTTTCCTAGTCCATACGTTAAACATCTAAATCTAAAAATGAAATGAGGGTTGATTAATTAAAAGCTAATATGCACTCTAATTAATCCAATGATATTAAAACTGCCACCCCGTTCAAAAATCCCTACCTCCATAGTGATTTTCGAAAGGGTAGTTTGAGAAGTGGAAATTTTGTATTTCCGGGTTGACCGCTACAGTGTGGTGTTTGGACCTCATTTTTGTTTCTCAGTCAAAATGAGAAACCGACTCATTTCCCTCCCCATTGCGCTGGCGGTTTCCATCCGACCTCCGTTTTCTTCGACCCACTTTCTTCTCTCCATTTCCCCCCTTCACAAGCTCACCTCTATAGTTCAACACTCTAATTTCATACGCCCAGCAGATGATTTTCCATACTCCATAGACAACAAATCCTCTCATCTTTTTTTTTCTTCTTCACATCATTTTCTCTATCGTCGCAAATCCAAAAGCCTCTATTACCAGTGGGGAGGTCTCGAGATTCACCAGTGTTTGTCTATTCTCTATGCCTGTCGCCCGACTAATTCTTCTTCATTTCATCTACAATGATTCTCTTCCCATTTTATAAACTGTTTCAGAGAAATTGTCCCTCCACAAAATGCTCTGGATGCAGGGAATTTGAAATGGAACTGGCAATTGATAGAACTTAGTCATTTTTATTGAACTCAAATGTGCTGCTAGATTAGAGCCAACATTGGTTTGAATTTTGATTGATGGTGAGAGATGTAGAAGAAACGGGAAATAAATATAGAAAATGGGTTAAAATGAGATATCATGTAACTATTCATTTGTCCCACTTAATTTTCATTTGTCAAGTTAATTAGAATAAAATACAAAAAAACTCCAAGTTGTCAAGTTAACACAAAAAATGTCACGTTAGTGTATCCAGTTGATATAATCACCATAGGTACGATGGTGGTGTTAAGTTTAACATATTTCATGTATGGAATGACTATATTTGTAGTATAAAAACTGACTACTTTTGTTACAAAGTTCGTCATTTTGGTTATATTTTGCAAGGATTGAAAACCATGTTGTACTAGCGGTTCAACTAGAAAAACCTCCTACAGGAAGCAAAACCCGTAGGCGGTATTTAGCGGTATGAAAAGGTTGAACCACGATTAAATCATGATTTCAGCATAAAATACTTTACTGCTGACTTTTTCGGTACATTTTTTCAATCCTTGGTATTTTGTCTATGCTAAACAACACATATGATTAAATATTTAATAATCAAATAAGTGTTACTTGAGTTTTGATTTCAGGATTAATTTCATTCTATAAGATATCACTAAGTTCAAATAAAATATAAAACATCATATACCAATATGTCTCTAGTGTTTAATTAAATAAATTGCAACAAATACAATATAGTTTAGTTGCTTTTACTTTTATTTTTTTTTTAATATGAGTGATATAGATTTATCCTTTGTAGTCTAGTTGTTTATAAACTTATAATACTTTTTCTTCATTTGAGTAACATGATTTCAAATATCAATATTCAAATTTTTATTATATAAACAAATGATGTACAATTACTAAATGGAGCTTCTTGGAATCGCTCCCCATCCACGAAATTTGAAATGAGGCTGTAGTTTTTTCATTCAACTTTAAAGAAATGGGTTGTGTTTAATTAAAAGAATGACAACAAATCCAATTTACTTTGATTGGTTAAAAGCTCTTTCTAGGGTTCAAATCCTACTAACGCACTTTTTAAATATATAAACAAATGAGGTGCAATTACTAAATAGACCTTGAAATTTGAAATTGGTATGGCAGTTTGACTTTTCAGCTATTATAAATAGTGTAAATTATAAATTTAATTAAATTTAAAATAATATTTTAATAAATTTTATGACGTGCCACGTGTACCAAACTGTTAGCCACCTTAGCAAATTTAACGAAAAGTTAACAAATGTCTATAATTGTCTAAAACTTCAATAGATTTGGCTATATTATTGTATTTCGTATTAGTTTAACTAATTCTATCCACACCTTAAAAGGTTCTGAATATTTTTTGAGCGTTTACCCTAATTATTTTATAATACATACCAACTTATCAACAATATCTTCTATTATTCATAAAAAAGAAAAAGACAATATCTTCTATTATCTTGACATAAGTGGACACCGGGAGTCTGATGGGTCGGACGAAATAAGGGAATGGGTATTAATGAGTTGTTGGTTGGTAGTGCAAATATGATTGGGGAAGGTAGTTGGGGAAACACCAAGTTTAAGTGTGGTTTAGGGTATTCCACGCATCCCTCCTCGTTTTCCCTAAATATAAATTAGAAAAAATAGTTCACTATTGAAGATGCTTAACGCCAAATCCTTCCCGCCCTAAACTCATTGTTATTTTATTTACTTTTTTTTTTTTTTTTTGTGAAAGTTCTTCTATTTGCCAACTAGTTAGCAACTCATACAACACATTACCAACAACAAGGGAAAGGAATAGAAGCAAAACTTGATCAAGCCCTCCATTTCTGAATCAATTGCTTCAAACCATCATCACCCGTCCCACCAACAACCTTCCTGACCTCATCTCTAATCTCACCAGCTCGCAATCTCAATCCTTCGTCCTCCATCATCTCCTTAATCCTTCTCCCAATCTCTTCCCCCTTCACCAAAACTTGTCCACTCCATCCCCAATTCCCTCCCATAAACCCTAACCCACTTCCTTGCACCACTTCCCCATTGATCCTCTGGTCTCCGTGGAGCGGCCACGCCAGCACCGGAACTCCAACCCAAGCTGCTTCCACCACAGAGTTCCATCCACAGTGGCTCACAAACCCACCAACAGAATTGTGCCTCAGAACTTCAACTTGATCCACCCATTCTTTAACCACGATCCCCTTTTCCTTAACCTCCCCCATCATCTCTGCCCCCAATACTCCCTCCAATTTCTCTCCATCTTCTTTATCGACTGCTTTATCCTTCATCACCCATACGAATGGATACCCTGATTTGACCAACCCTTCGCCCAATTCTCTGATTTGCTCTCTCGAAAGAGCTGTTCTGCTTCCGAAGCTCACATACACGACTGATTTAGCTAGCTGAGCATCCAGCCATTTCGATACAGCTTCGGCTCCTTCTCCGCCGAACCCTAATTTCCTCTCGAAATCATTAGGGATTAGTCCAACATTGAACAATGGAGGCAACCCACCTGCCACTTCCCCTGCTTTTAGAGCCTTGAGGGTTTTCGATTCCAGCTGGTCGAATGTGTTTATTATGATTCCGTCGAACTGCCGGAGATTATCGCTGTCGGATTTGAACATGGTGGCGAAGAGCGACTCGGGGACTAGAAGCAGAGGCGGGATTGATGATCTGGGTATAGCTCCGATCCCCGGAATTTTGATTTCGGAGATTTTGGTGGAATCGGCGAGGGATTCGGATACGACAGAGTAGTAAGAAAACAGGGAGAACATTTTAGCTGAAGACGTGAAGAATACATAATTGGGGATCTTCATGGGCTTGGTGATGGTGATGGTGGAGGAAATTAGAGTGATGTCGGAGACCATGGCGTCCAGAGGTGGAGAAAGAGAGGAGAGGATGGAAGAGAGGAGGTGGAGAGAGCGGCGGATGGATTCCCACTGGAGGAAGAAAGGGTCTTTGGAACTGGCAGCGGATGCGGGATCTAGAGGGAGGATGTGGAATTGCTTCTCAGTGACCTGTGGGAAACTGGAGAGAAAGCTGGATATGAGATTGGACTCGGCCTGAGTCACGATGGGGTGGCTGGTGATAAGCGTGACTCTGCAGTTTTGGCTCAGCAGCGATGCGGCTAGCCGGAGAAAGGGAGTGATGTGACCGGCGCCGGAGCTTGGAAGGAGAGCTACGTGAGGGGAGCGGAGGTCGTTGGCGTCGGCGGCGGGGCTTGACATTGCTAATGCTGCCGGCGGGTGTGGGGGGTAGGGGCTGGTGGAGGGAGTTAAGTGGGAAATCAAACGTGAGTGTTTCAGTGAAGTTGGGTGGTTTGAAGGGAGACGGAAGAGGGCAAGTTCACTTTTGTAGATGGGATTTTATGGCTTGGCAGTCAATGATGAAGGTAGGTGTATCGTGTGGCTAAGATGAAACCATGTCGCAGTATGGTGATTCATTAGGCTGAGTCCATTGCAGCCTTGCATTTATGGGGTTGTCGCCATTAATGTCGATTTTGGAGTTCCAACGTAGAGAAATAAATGTCGAAAATCGGCAATTATGGAGGCGATCGGCAATTGGATCGCTATATATGGAGGAGGGTTTGCCGATTTCGACATTTATGGAGGAGGAGATGTCTGCTGCGCGGCACAACCGCCGGGGCTGGGCGGTGCGCCGCACGCGCAAAAGCCTAAATACAAACATAAATTTAATTCCCCTCCCCCTAATTAATTCAATTTAATTCCCCTTCCCCTAATTAATTACATTCAATTCTCTTAATCAAATTCCTTAATTAAATACCTTAAATAACTAAACAACAATTAAAAAAAAGAGAGCAGCTGGCGGCACAACCGCCGGGGCTGGGCGGTGCGCGAACATCCCAAGATCTTGCAGGGCCACGAACGATTGCCCATCTAGCTTGAAGAATTCCAAAGGCCCGCTCTACGTCTTTCCGATGTGCTTCTTTATCATCTTTCAAGTGTTGTGTGTAATATTTAAGTTTTATGATTAGCAAGTGTTGTGTGTAACCTATGAATTGTGCTATTTGAATTATTATGTCAACTCGTTAAACTTTATCATTTTCAAGTGTTGTGTGTAAACTCAAATTAGGTCCATAATTTTTTGCTAAAAAAAATTTGGTCTCGAAATTTAACAAAATTCTATCGAAAAATTTGTATTTAAAAATGATGACGAACTATACAAAAATTAACATGAACAAATTATGTTAAAGTTTCGATAAGTACATTTTTAAATAAATGGAAAAAAAGGAAATATTAAAAACCCCAAATATGGAGTTTGTTGCATTGGAGCAAAAGAAGGAAAAATGGGGTTCAATCCCCAAATTTGGGGTTCAAGGCCCCCAAATTTGGGGTTTTGCATTGGACTTGGCCTTAGTCAAGTTGGTACTTATAAAGTATGGGTATGAAACTCTGAATATTTAAATGGCGACTAGTTTGTTTTTTAGAATATTATATAAATATCAGTGTAAAATTATCACGGGTTAATTGCATGGTTGATCACTAAGATTACAAAAAACGTTCAAGTTTGGTCACTCGAAATATTTAAATTCATTTGTGGTACTTCACTTTACTGAAACCGTTCACGTTTGGTCACTCTCCGTCCAACTCCGTTAACTTTTGCTTATGTGGCGGTCAACTCTAAAAATTGACCGTTAAATGTGTGACGTGACAATTTAAAATTAATAAAATTAAAATTTTTAAAATTGCCACCTCATTTCCACCTAATTATCACTTTTATTTAAAATTAATAAAATTAAATTGGGCAAGAACCCGGAGAAGGCGCCAAAATCCCGGCCTCTATCCTCTGCCGCATCGGCGCCATGAGGTTCCTCGCCGACCCGGAAACCGACGAGGTCTACACCAAGATGAGCCTCGTCCCTCTCCCGCCAGACGAGAAGCTCGATTTCGACGACGAAATCGGCAGCGCAGTCCAAGAGAAGCCGGCTTCCTTCGCCAAGACCCTCACCCAATCCGACGCCAACAACGGCGGTGGATTCTCGGTGCCGCGTTACTGCGCCGAGACGATTTTCCCCAGGCTGGATTACGCGGCGGATCCTCCAGTCCAGACGGTGGTAGCTAAGGACGTCAACGGTGAGGTTTGGAAGTTCAGACACATCTACAGGGGAACTCCCAGGAGGCATCTGCTGACTACTGGGTGGAGCACGTTTGTCAATCAGAAGAAATTGGTGGCCGGGGACTCAATCGTGTTTCTCAGGGCGGAGAACGGCGATCTCTGCGTCAGTATCCGCCGCGTCAAGCGAGGGATTGGCGGCGGCAGCGGGCCAGGATGGTCCTCGTCTTCTTTCCCCCAATCTGGTTGGGGCATTAACGCAAACACTTGCGGGGCAACTGGGATGGCGAACCCGTACAACAATTTTTTGGTGTTTCTGGAGGAGGATGAGAGCAAGGCAGCGAGAAATAAAAGCTGCGGTGGGAAGGGATCGGCAGCGGCGACGAAAGTGACAGCGGAGGAGGTTTTGGAGGCGGTGAGATTGGCTGCAAGTGGGCGGCCGTTTGATGTTTACTATTACCCCAGAGCTAGTACTCCAGAGTTCTGTGTCACGGCTTCTTCGGCTAGAGCTGCGATGAGAATCCATTGGTGCCCTGGGACGAGGTTTAAGATGCCCTTTGAGACTGAAGATTCTTCGAGGATTAGTTGGTTCATGGCTACTGTGGCTTCTGTTCAGGTTGCGGATCTATTCGCTGGCCGAATTCGCCATGGCGCCTTCTCCAGGTTCTTGCCCAATACTGGTCATGGAGGCGAGTGGCTCAGGGTCCTTGAGATTCGGCATCTCAGAGAGGAGCCGAGTCTGGACGGAGGGCGACGAGGAGGAGGAAGGATCGGAGGGAGAGCGGGGAAGCGGCGACGGTTGTTCGACGTCGAAGGCGGCGACCGGAGGAGGAGTAGCAGCAGGAGCCTTGGGGCTGATCGACGGGCAGGCCAATTTAATTTTATTAATTTTAAATAAAAGTGATAATTAGGTGGAAATGAGCTGGTAATTTTAAAAAATTTAATTTTATTAATTTGCTATCCTCAGAGGTATTTGGTTTCTTCCAGCTCCTTTCTGTCTGACTGTCCGTGGGTTTTGTTTTCAGGTATTAGTCTTCATGGGGCTTTCGCTCCAAGTTGTTTGGTGTATACTTGTAGAATGGATTCAAAAAAGATTGTTTCTGCTTCCATCAAGTTTGATGAAAAGAACTTCCCTCTTAGGAAGTTTAACTTCACCATCTCGTTGAGGGTTGTCGCTTCTTCCTATTATGAACCGTCAGTCCTCTAAGCGTCTTAAAATTGTTATAAATCGAACAGGAAAAATTAGGTTACTGATCTGGCTGAGTCACGGACTAGGTCGCTCTCTTTAAAACGTTTGCGGCACTGCCTCGTTATTCGCACAACAGACTATCAGCAACTGCTGCATCGACTAAAGAAATATAAGATTGAGAAGCCCGAAATGACCAAATTGTGACTTGGTTATTGTCTTCTATTAATATTGCTACTATCCATGGTCCATGAAATCGTACCGGACATCGTACCGGAAAAGTCACCGGCAGGATATTTTATGACAAAACCGTGGTTTAACCGTAGTTCAACCGTTAGTACCGTTAGATACCGTCTATCGATTTAGCCTCCGATATTGGTATTTTGTGATTGAACCACCGATACGGTTTCATGAACCATGCTACTATCCTTTGCGACAATCACAACTCATGAGATATAGAGGCATATTGCGGTACATATTCACAAGCCAATTCCTCTCAACAGTTTCAGCTCGAGAGTGAAAGCTCTCGCTACTCACAAGGAGATTCGGATATTCCCGGCTTTTATCACGAATTAGTATAACTTTGGAAAAACTATGATTTACTTGCAACTTACTCTTTGGGATTTCGATAGTACGTGGTTTAGGAGCGAACTCGTACTCGACTCTTCCGTTTCTCATGAAACTTAGTCCGTGTTTCAAGTCGGTTAGAGCCTCCTTGATTCACCGCAAAGTTACCTCTGTAATGAAGTATGCGGAAAGAGACAAGGTTGGGAAGCCAAGCTCTCAACTGGACATCATGGTGGCAATTCAGATTTATTTTGGATGGTAGTTTATGAATTATGATGAAGGTAAGTGTAGCGTGTGGCTAAGATGAAACCATGTTACTATATGGTGATTCAATAATGAAGTTGGTTATGTTAAAAGCGCAGATGATAGGGTGTTAATCGTACTTGTGTAATTGGTTATAGCGTACGTTATGTAAGTTTGATAAATGGTATGGTCTAACAAGTAATATAATCGATCGGTTAATCCCAGTTCATGTCAGATTTAGCAAAAATGTAGTGAATTAAACGGAGTTTTGTGCATGATATTATACCCTAACCATTAATGGATAAACCCTAGTCTCTAGTTTTCTAACCCAAATCATGAGATTCGTTTAATCTTAAAATGAAAATCAACAATAATTTCGACGAATCAGAACCATTGATTTTCATTTCATGATTTAATGAATATTATACTTTGGGTTAGTGAATTGCAGACTGGGGTTCATCCATTAGAGATTAGGGTATAGTATCATGCCCCAAACTCCGGTTAATCATTGTCTAAATAGCAAAACTCAACGGGCGTACGCTAGCTTTTGCCATATATATATATGGATGTCATGTTTTACTATGTGTGGTCACAAAATGTCTTTTTATGGATGTCATGTTTTACTATGGCTGTAGAGGGTTGTAATTAAATTTATATTGTTTTATGTGGTTTTAGCTTCTCATACCATGTGGTATTCTATGGTAATTATGATTAATTTGTGGTCATTTGATTTATCATGTTCTACTATGATAGTATTGTATCGTAGTTAGATTTATAATTTTCTGTAGCGTGTTTTACTACCATGTGGTATTTGTATGATAGTTGGATTTATAATTTTATTTTAGCATGTTATAATATATGGTATTGTATGGTAATTATATTTATAATTGTTTTAGCATATTTTACCATGTTTTACCATGATAGTAGAAAATGATAATCATATTCATACTTGTAATTACCCTCTTTAGCACTGAATTATTTAATGGGAAAAATCATCATTCAAGTTGAGTCGGAATTAAAGTAGGGAAGATGAAATGGTTAGATTATTTTTGTTGTAGAAACAGAGTTAGAGTAGAGAGAACAAATACATTTATTTCCTCGTCTTTTAAAGGTAGATGGGAGAGAGAAGAAATCATTTGTATTTTCTTTTAATAATAGAAAAAAAAGAGAAGGGAAAGGTGGGGCAGAAGTGGGGGGCGTGTCTTGTAAAAGTCAGCATCAGCATTAAATGGGGTGGGTGCAATTTACCCTACTATCTCTCTGTGTTTAATTTAAATAAGACAAAGGCTGATATGTAGAAGACAGAGAAAGGGGTTACTCATAGTTACTGGTGGGATCCGAACCCGAGCTACCTAGCATAGAAACAACTTTGAAAGATGGGTAAGTGGTTCGCTTTGAAAATATAATGTAACATATATACAGCAGAAAATGGCTGCTTACCAAGCTACACTATTTTTGGCAAGTAGTGGTGCAAATTGAGAGAAAAATGATAGGGGTGTAAATTGAGGGTGTGAGTGGGGAGAAAAATTGTTATTGGGATGAAAAAATAGGGGTGCAAATATGGTGAAAAGTAAATAAAGTATATTATTCTAAAAATAGATTTGTTAAATTTATAAAAGATTATAAAAAATAATAAAATAAAAACTTACGTAATATTTATAAATATTAAAATATAATTTGATAATTATTAAGAAAGTAATGCTTAAATAGTAATTAATTATTGATAGAGCAATCTCGAAGCTCAAAGCCCAACCTATGGTAAGGACATATAGCTAGCTCATGCCTCTCATTCTAGTGTTGGTTTGTCGACATGTTGATCTCGATTTGACTAGACGAACCTTGGCAAACTTTCTCGCCGAGTTAAACGGTGAACCCAAACTAGGTAGGAGTGTGCAACAATTCGATCTTGTCCGGACCGGACCAAACTTATGATAACCTCGGTGTAATAGCGATAGACATTTTAGAATCAATGATCAAATCATCATTGCATTCAATCCTATTTGGTTTGGTCCAAATGTCAAATCGGTCCATTTTTCTTTAGTATTTACCTGGCACTTCTTCTGTATATTTTTCAACTCAACTTTGAACCCAATTGACATGAGTCAACCAAACATTTCCTCGTTCTACTATTTTCCATGACACTTCTCTATTTTCCAACACAAATTTGAGTCAAATTTCGTCAAACACATTCAACAATCCGAGCCAATTCAACAACTTGCGATTCACGACAAATTTTACATTAATAATAATTCTAATAGTAAAAAGAATTATAAAAATTATGATTCGTGATTGAAAAGTAATTATAGTCTTTCTTACTATCTTAATAATAACCATCATCATTGCATGTTTTTTATTGAAAATAGAATTATTTGATTATAATAATACTTATAATAATAATAATAATAATAATAATAATAATTTTATATACTAACCCCTTCTTCCTATTTTCTTTTTTCTTGTACCTCAAATTTGGAAGATTAAGGGAAATAGTGAATTTACTCCTCACTTGCTTCCCTACTAGGCTACTACTATTACGAACTAATCAAACGAGTAAATTCATTGGAAATGACATTTACACTAAATTTCGACCCCACTATTGCACCTCTAGCCAAACGTAGTGTGAGTGAAGACTTGTTTTTGGCGGATGCAACCTTCTGAAATTGTGCTTCGTTATCAACGGGCACGAGCACGAGAGAGAAGACCATGAATAGAACCCGCCGTGCCCCGCTTCTTTCCCTGTGCATTATTCACACAGCACAAGTTACTTCATACTTCTTTTCTTCACCACCACGAAGTGATTACAAATTTACAATGAAAGCTTTAGGAGCAAATTCCGACATTAAGACTAGGAAGACTTTGACTCACTCTTTCATTGTTAAACAAATCCTCTGCAACCGCTTCCATTTGCTTTCGCTTTTTCTCTTCTTTCAACGCCGCTTGGACCTCTGTACTATCATAGCTGGACTCTCTATCAACATAAACAGCAGGCATATAAATAACACAGCATTATAAAGGTGATATAAAAAAAGGCAACTCATTTTGTGACACATGAGAAAGAAGTCTTTTTACTTGTAAGGATCTCTTGAGAATGGAATCAGATTGCTAAAGCTATTCCCTGACTGGATACACTTCTGTAAGAAATGAATACATGTCAGCATTCATTATTCCCATAAATTCATCAATCAAGAACTTTCAAATTCCAGGAAGAAAAATAGATGGAAGCTGAGCAACAGCTGAAGGAAATTGCTAGCTGCATAATCTCAATTTCAGAGTCCATAGCCAGTACCAGGGTTCCTCCTTTGCAAGTGGAAACCAAAAAGTCCCTTCGAGACTGAGGTGGCAGGAATGCAGGAATGCAAAGAGCTCATAGAAACTGAGAGGCTTGAGGCCATAGCTATACTGAAATAAATAAAAAGTTCCACTACCTTTCTGAAGCATTTGAAGTTTGGAACTTCACTTCCTTTAGCTGAACTGGCTTCAGCAGCTGATAAATTCGAACCTCTAACTATCAATACTTGGCTGTAAATGATATCTGCATTTCCATCGTCACAATCAACCTTTTCTATTTTTGTTGTCATGCTTGCATCGTCATGACGTGCAGAGCGCACCGTATATGTCTCCTCCAATCTTTTGGCAGTACAATTAAACAGAGCTAATGCCTCTTTGTTCTCCGATTCTGAAGCAACTTTGCTGCTGAGAATATTGGCGTCAGGAGGAACTGATGTTGCCATTTCAGCTTCTACTTCTGTATCAGAATCTGCTACTATTGTCTCATCCGTGGTGGATGACAATGATACATGCACTGCAATGAAATGAATGGTTCGAGAACACATATGAAAAGCTGCAACTTGTAAAGCATTGCAAAATAAATTAACAGACTTCTCGGATAAATGTTCTACTGTGTAAATGTTAACATGAGCATAAGAACACAGCCAAAACTTGTTCCCCTATCTTGAAGCTGTTCTTCTGGGCCCAGCTTCAGGAGTCACAGTTCTGTCAACTAGCAAGATAATGTAAGGTAGCCAGGATTCCCCGCAGATGGAAATAGTTGTTCAGCACAAACTAATATCAGTCTTGCATGACATTTTTCAAGTAGTCACGTCAATTACAGTATTACAAAGGGGGTAGACATTGAAATTTCAGAATGTAAATATCTAATAGGCAAGACAAGGGTATATAGTCATACGGCACTGATTGCCGAGGTAAAAGAACGCGGTGCCTGATCTTGATACTAGGTACCGTACACGAGGACCACATTTTGGTTCAATGCATGGAAGATAACATATTGAGATTTCCTTAGCTGGTGCACTTTAGCAACACCCACTGGTTTAGAACAAGCGAATACCATTCACAAGAGAAATGAGTATACTGACCAGTTGGTTGTGTTAACACCGACAGATCTAGATGTCCAGACAGAATAGCACACAACAGATCCATCTCGTCCACTCTAGAATATGAACTAAGCTCAGTGATGTCATCAAACTTGTGGGCTGATGCTTTAGTGGTAACACATACAGCCCTACTTCTACCTCCACAATCCACAACCTACAAAAAATAATCAATGTGTTTTAGTTATTCAGCAACGAAGGCCACAATATATAAGAACCAAGAAATATCCAAGCAAATGGTCAGATGTCAGTTTAGCTAACTGGTTTCAGCATGCTTAAGAACCTACTTGGTTTCTTAAAATTGGCATCCTTTTCAACACCAAACACTTCTATTTATTCAGTTCAAATATACAACCATTTTTTATTCCACTAAAATTTACATAAAGCAACCAATCGTGCTAGGAAGTTTATAATGACATCAAGTCTGAGTTCTGACATCTTAGTAAATAAGTGGCATGCAAAAGCTGAAAAGTCTCACATTTTGCAACCAAGTCTTGGCAGACTGATGAATTTTCATAACCAACAAACTTAATAGTAAAAAGAGTTTGAAGTTTAACTGTCATTGAGTGCTTTGTTAGCAGGAATTCCTAAGAAACGCAAGACTATGATCCAGTTCATCACTTGAACATAGGTCCCACGATAAGCTCAAAAGCAAACATTATTTTTTAGACATCAAACCCCACTTTTCAAGATAAGGATGTGTGCATTACTCTATTTCTTCGACTAAATGAGCGGCTTAGCTTTGATCCCATGCGAGATCAATGAAACACATATTTCTAGACAGACAATATCAAAAAGATTCTTGTGCTGATTCTTATGTATGGAAGCCTTGTGACCAACAAACACTAAAAAAGTAGTCAGAGCAGACGAGAGACAGGAGATCTTGGTCCAATTAATGATATTATCAAAGGGTGCTACATCCTTATCATGCCTCGGTAAATATGAGACCACGATGACATATCCATCATCACGTCCGGATATTCAATCAAAGCCATCAAATCCAGTCTACAAAACAAATACTTCAAAAGAAGCATTTAGATTCAGAAATGCTTTAGGCATATCATGATAGTAAGGATGGGGAAAACTAACTTGGCTATTTGAACAAAATTCTTCAACTGAAGCTGTCTTTGCACCAGCTACTTCCAATAGAGCAGGTAGTCTATCCTCGAACAGATACTGCAGAAGGATTAAGAGTTAACATATATCAAGAGAACAAATAGAGGTTGGAAAGAGTGATGATTGATGAACCATCCCAAAGTTTTGGAAAGCTCATTGCATAGTCTCACCATCTGTCTCGGATCCAGTATAAAACTGTATCCTACCAAGCATTTTGAACGAGTGATTGAGTCTACTAGTTGGACTGAGACTCCTTCCACTGCCACCGTCGGAACATTACTGCCAGCAAAATTCAATTAAACAGGGTCAAGAAGAATACTTAGAAGCATGTACTGATAGCTAAAACCAACAAGAAAAGATTATACTTACGAGCTCCAACTAGGAATCTCTGATCCAATACATTTTTCTCCAAGCAACTAAACATACATCAAAAGATTAATTAAATTCTGAGGTACAGGTATAAATAATATGGTAGGCACTCCACAGCCACAAACATTCTTCTGTACAATATGCATACTAAAAATGTGGAAAAAACCAGTTACATGAAACAAGCATATAAGCAAAACTGCAAATGTGTTTGGAAATCAGTGACATTTGTAGGCATTTCAGGATATATCAAGAGGATAAAATATTGCAGATACCCTTCCCGCTAATGATGACCCTTATTCTGTGTCCGTGGGTTAGAAACTTTCAGAAGAAATGAGGAAACATGATGAGAGACTTTCTATTACCACTCTGATAGTTCATCATACATTGGACATAACTAACTGAGATCACCTCCTTCTAGAATTTTCTAGAAAATAAAATTTCTCATGGGGCATTTAGCAGGTTTTAAAGCCATTAACTTGTTATGATAATAAGCAAGTGTGCCTTATACAACATGGGTAAAGAGAATGAAGAACTCTTATATGCAAGACAACACCTGTGGTTTGATAGATCACAGACATTATTCATCTAGTAGGGTGATTTTCATTGGCAACAACTGCAGAAGATGCTATGATTTCCATTCTGATACCACTAGTGAATTAGGTAAATCGAAGTAGTTTCCTTGCTTTCTTCACGGGCTATTGCTTAACTATTAATGTCACTGCTTAATGCTATCAGGTTCAGAGCAGTATCAAACTTGGAAGAAGCATTGCATATGCATTACCTCCAGCCAGCTCATGAGCATAATTGGTTTTTTTGCCACAATAGCATCAATCAGAGGTTCACTCACTGGCGCGAGCTGATCAGTTAGTACATGTGTGCACTCATCGCTTAACTCAATAGTGGTACAGGCACCTATAGTATGAGTGCATAAATTCATTAGTATTTTTATCATATAGCTTCCACGGTTGTCAGAAACCAAGTAAAAAAAACAGATAACTAGCCAACGAAAACATGATGAGTCTTGGCCATAGTAATAGATGCAACTTCATAGATCTACAGTCAAACAATTGCTGCTGTCCAGCTTAACACTGTACCGAAACCAATAAATTATCTTGGCAAATGGCATCAGAATAAGCATCGTTTTTACTTTCATATTATTCCATTTATTTCCTTATGACGTATCCTAACTGCTAAATCAGATGTCACTTCTTTCACTTTATGGTTTTTGCAAGTACTACATGCTGGAGTCTTTAACTGCATCAAACAGTTATCTTTCCATGGATAGAATCTCTGACCCAATGATAGCAGATCTAAGAGGATCCAATACCCAAACTTCACAATTGAAATCTACTTCCAACAACTAGTATGAGAACAGCCTTAATCCACTATTTGGCCACATTACTGACAAATGAAATTTTAGGCGATTGAACAAACATATAAACTACGACAACTATGTACACTTTAACATCTCCCTGTTTTCCATGTTACAAAAGGGGAGGCAAAGGTCAAAAGAGCAAAAGCAACAGTTTCCATATGAAAGACAAATTACTACAGAGTTTCTCCCGAAAGCAGGGTTGTATGAAACAGATAGTTATTTTATTTCTAAAACCCACTCTATAGACCACTGATAACAATCGCTTTTGAATCCATTTAGTAACCAAGCAGTGCACACAAGGGTAGAACTTCGAAAAAGGAAAACAGTTAACTTTATTTCATGGCCTGGAAGAAATAAAATTATGACCTTCAATCTGAAAGGGCAGAGGCACTAACCAATTGATGACACTTTGCCTCGAACAGCAAGGGGCTCAGAACAGAGCATATTATAAAAGACGAAGGGGACAAAAGAAAACCTGCAAGATTTCATTGAAAAAGAATAATTATTTACCAGGCATCAACAAGGGTGTAGTGACACCATGGAAAACACCCAGACACCCAGAGAAAAGGTAAAAATAGTCTGGACTAGCTAAGGATTCCGAAATACCTATACGCTGCATTACCAGTTCCAAAGCAAACCACGTCCCCGTCTTTTAAAGTGGTTTCTTTGCTGGGTAGCTCATGAACCTTTTCATTAGACGCATGGTTCTTGTTGATGAATGTACCATACTTTGAACCGTCTTTAATCCTAACACGAGATAATATGTTGGATCCTCCGGGAAGTCTACTCATTGAAATCATTTCATCAACAATGATTTCTGCATGGACCCTTGAAACGCCTTTGTCTTTGCTGATTACTATATCACAACCTAGCAAAAGAAACGGGTCATTGTATGACTGACAATCATGACAGTTGCAGGAAGTGATATTTTAAAGGATAAACATCAGAGTGCCAGAATGTAGCTACTTTCATCTTCGAAACTGAGTACTGGTGAGACAAATTAAGCGAAATGTGAAAGTCAAGACTTAGCATTCAAATCCAGAAGTTTAAACCCATCTTAATTTTCTTCATTCATTCACTACCCAACCACTTTCACAACCACCTTAAACATTCGAGGTGAAAGTCTACCTATCGATCTTAAGCATCCTAACCTTCCAATCTGGTCAGCACCTTTCATCGCAGTGTGTGCATTCACTCTTTACAATAACAGGCTACCTAACTCCTAAGAAATACGATCTAGGGCAACAAAAATCAAATAACTGAAACGAGAAAAGAGAAACCAAGCCATGATAGAACAATTAAATTAAACTTCAGAAGGAAAAAAAAAACAATCTGAGACAATGAAATGGCACCTTTGCGGCCAACTTTGTAGGTTCCCTTTCTGTAGATGTAGTATTTTTCTTCACCTGTAGCAGAAAGTCCCAATATCAGCAGCAAGAAGATACCATACATCAATTTGTCACCCGATTAAAAAAGTGACCTCCAAACCCCTCACTTTGGGTTCATCAGAAGACTTGCGAGTTGGAACTGGAACAGAATAGTTAATACATTTTGATTTGTTTAGGTCCCCTAAACTACAGACCTAGGCCAGGGTCAAGTTTGGATTCTCAGAAACGTGAAGAGTTCTCTCAGTAGCTTGAAAAGGGGAAAATGAAAAGGAGGGGCGATTACCGGAGTGAGGATCAACCGGGAAAAGACTCCAGACCATTGTCGCTTCAGAAACAGAGAGCGGCGGCCGCCACTGGTTAGCTTGTGTTAAGCGTGAGTGAGAAGGAGACTATCAGTTCGGTGATTGTAAAAGAAACATCGGAAAGCTTTACTGGGGCACGCCAATTCACGGTAATGGGTCTTTCTGTCTTTCACTTGGTTTATGAACAATTTTTCTGTATTTCTTAAACTCTGCTATAGAGGTTAGAGGTTTTCAAACGGATTGTTTACCGTGGTAACTGTTTTAACTATTAGTATTTGGTTTGGTTAATTTGGATAATTGGTTTGGTTTGATTTGATTAAATTTTTTAGCTTGTTTGATTTAGGTGGTTTGATTTGGTTTCAGACACTTCTAACCAATAGAACCAAATTAATCAGTTAAGTAATTAGCTATATATCTATTATATATTATATAAACATAATACTTAGCATAAGAAATCAACAACCAACAAACAAACGTTGCTCTATTTAGACTCATGAAAAATAAAAGCTCAATATTGTTCTAATGTTGCATATTTGTTATTGTAGAATGTAAACCACAACATATATACAGTCTAATTTAAATAAAAACTCATAAATTATATTGAAAAGTAAGATAATTGTATTAGAGGTTTGTGCTTATGTTAAAGATTAACTATAATCATATGTTGAATTTTGTATTTTATTCATTATATAAAAATTAAAATAGATGCATTAATCGGAAAATTTTCTCACTTAATGAGAATGTGATATTATATTCGTTAATCTGGTTAACCAATTAACCAAACCGATTAAACTTTAGTTTGGTTAATTTGGTTAAGCAGATTAATTTAGTTTGGTTAATTTGGTTAACCAGATTAACGAATATAATATCAGCTTGGTTAATTTGGTTATAATATTAGTTTAGACGGTTTAGTTATGATATTGTATTCTATGGTTAATAGAATTTAGTCTTATTTGGTTTGGTAATTATCATGATAACCATTTAGAGGTGGTTCGAGAAAATAACTTTACATTCAAGTTTAAATCGGTAGGCAGTTTTTAGACGAGTAAAAAGATTGAATCACAATTAAATCAATTTTTTTTTTTGAGAACACAGTTAAATCATTTTGTCACAAAATAGCATACCATTGGTTTTTTCTATACGTTTTTAGTAGTAGCTATCAACTTTTGATTTGTATTGCAGTTAGGGGTGGGGATTCCCCCAAACCTCAAACCGAATTAATTCGGTTTGGTTCGGAATTTCACACAAAACCAAATTTGTGAGGCTACAGGTTACTTGTATTTTCTCGCTTTTAAATTATTTTTCACCCTTAATATAAACAATATATATGCAATTATATGCATCATCAATGATAAAATCAAATATTTCAAAACATAAAGTCATTAAACACTAACACAATTCAAATATTTAAGTTTAAAAACAATTACAAACATAAAAACCCACCATTTGGAACTTGCAAGTATAGTAATTCGGTTTTCAGTCGAAATTGCGGAATTTTGGTTCGGTTGAAAGAACCCTGATTTCCGAAATATCCATATTTCCCTTCCTAACCGAATAGCATTATTTCGGTTTTGGTTCAGTTCGGTTCAGGTTTACCAACCGGTTGCCCACCCCTAATTGCAGTATCTAGATCCATACTTTTTTGTTGAAATCATCAACAATAATGAGAAAATAGTGTGCGGCGAGGGTAGGGATTGTTAAAAAAAACTTAGGGTTAGGGAAACATATTTGCACCCCCCCAAAATATCGATTGCAGAAGTTCAATATAATATAATATAATAGCCAAACCTTTCGTTTTAAACAAAATAATAGTCAAACCTTTCAAAAAAATAAAATAATAGTTAAACTGGTAACCTTCTATTCGTTTGACCGTTAGTTAACTCTGACGTGAAAGAGTATTAAGTGAGCTGGATGATTTTTGCTTATGTGGCAAAAAATCAAACGTTTGACTTTGCCAAGTGAATATTACTATTCTTTTTATAATTTAATTTTATAATGAATTAGAAAATAAAATAAAATATTTGACCAAAGCAAACGCTTCCTCATCCTAAAAATGGAATCCAAGAGCATTCCTTCCTTCTGAGCGGGCTAAGATCAGGTGACTAAGGGGGGGTCCCTTAGTCATGTGACTAAGTGAATCTCAGCCCTTCCACCTCATTAAAATCCAATGGTCCTGATTAATCCAATTTAATGAAGGGCAATGTAGTAATTTAATTATTTAATTTTTATTTACCAATTAAAATAAATAAAAATTCAGCCCCCGATCCTTTCCCTTCTCCGCGCGGCCTGCGTTTTTTTTTTCCCAGAGACTTCCGATCCCGCCGGCCGCGTGTAATTCGCCGGCGCCCCATTTTGACGGTCGCAATTTGGGATAATTCCCCCTGTGAGGATTAAATGTCCCACGTATAATTCCCCCTTTGAGAATTAAATGTCCCACGTAACAGAGAGAGAGAGAGAGATTTTCTGGCCGGAATTTTTTTCCCGACGAACATCATCGCCGGAGAAGAATTTCCCGGCGACAGTGCTAATTTTGTGATGTTTGTTGACATATTTTGTAATGTTTTGTTATTTTGTAATGTTTGTAAACTTTGTTATTTTGTGCACCATGTTTGTAAACTTTGTCATTTTTGTGCACCATGTTCGTAATGTTTTTTTATGTCTAAAAAACACCCGGGTTGACTTTGGGAAGGAGCCCCTCTATATAGGGATGGAGCCTCCAAAGTCAACCCGGGTGTTTTTTCCCATTCGTATGGATTGTCGGTCTAGTTTGTCATTTTTGTCCACCATGTTCGTACTGTTTGTATGTCTAAAAAACACCCGGGTTGACTTTGGGAAGGAGCCCCTCTATATAGGGATGGAGCACCCTCCTTAGTCACTGGATCCGCTCTCATTCTGAGCGCCTCAATGTTTAGGGCCACCCACAGCTCCAAGGAAATCCCCGCCAGCGACGACATCTTGGGCCTGACTCTAGAGTGCACTGCGACCAAGCAAGACCATCTTTCACCATGTGAAACGAATCTCTACAATTAACATATCAGCTTGATGATGTCAGATTCCCCTGTTTCTTGTGCGGTGACTCTGACAGCTCTAGTTCTGCCAACGCTTCCGTACTCACATCGAAGGAAGTAAGTCGAGAGTATCCCAGCCGACCATTAGTTGCATGGCGAAAATCGATTCCAAGATCCCTAAACACTAATTGAAGAATCTAGATCTATTCCTCCCTAAACACTAATTGGCTTTTTCTTTGGGATTGGTTGGTCGAGTCTCTTCCTTCCCCTTTTCTGCATGGGTTGGGATTTCCTTTGGGATCGACGAGCTGCTGCCTGTTTGATATCGATGTCGCAGAGATTGTCAAAGATGGGGAGTGGGCGTCACCCGGTGGGAGCTTGAATCAGAGGCGGTAGAGTAGGGAATAGAGCAAGGGGAGGGATGTGATGAGGCTCGTCGATGAGCTCCTGAAGGAGAGCTATGGTGGGTGATGAGTTGGGTGTCGTCAGAGAGGGATTCGGAAAGAAAGAGAGTGACAGTCGAATGGACATATTGAAATAGAGAGATAAGTTACCATTTGTTTTATTTTTCTTTTAATATAAAATTAATTATAAAAGAGTAGTAATATCCACATGGCAAAGTCAAATGTTTGTTTTTTTGCCACATAAGCACAATTCATCCAGCTCACTTGATATTTTTCCACGTCAGAGTCAACTAATGGTCAAACGGATGGAAAATTAACGGTTTGGATTTTTTTTTTGAAAGGTTCGGCTATTATTTTGTTTAGAACAATAATGTTTAGTTATTATATTTATCCAATATTCGTAATTATGTTATTAGAGAAAGGAAATCGTGAGTGTTTAGTTCGTAAACAAGCATCGCAGTGTGTGGTTTCACACTTAGTCTTTTTTAAGTGTTGAAAAATTGCATTTTCTTCTCAGAAGGGAGCCCAAACCTGGAATGCTAAAGTTCTTACGCATTTATGTTGATACTTTGTACAGTTGTGCCTCCTTATTTTTCATGTCGAAGAGGTCTAAGTAGTATATGTCATCTCTTAACTTACCCCTCCCAATCTGCTTCCTTGAAGGTACGTCCTGAAGTATACAAAAATAATGCAAAAAGATCAAGGCGACGTTATGATCTTGAGAAAGTTTACTCACAGATAATAGGTTTCACTTGAAGTTTGGTACGCCCATTGCATCCTGAGTCTATAGTCCATTCTTGATGTAAGAATTTCTTACAAGTCATGTTGAGTCCAAGTGTTCTAGACTTAGGAGAGCCCTTTGAAAAGCTCCCACAACCAAGAAATTTCATGAGTTAATGGTATTTTTTCATTGATAGTCCAAGAACATGGTTGTGTTATACTTCTGCAACATGACCTTGGGGCTACTATTGATATCAACATATCCACGTTTGTTACTTCTATCTCCTAGTTTGTTACTTTTGGGAGGGTAGCCCGCCAACACGTAGCATCTCCCTTAATATGTCCAAGCTTGTTGTAATGACTGCAATTTGGTCATTCTTTGCCATCATTCTGACGTCACCACCATTACTTGCGACTGCATTTGCTTGATAAGTTGTTGCCTCCGAAATTGGTTTTCTGCTTGTTTTAATACTTGTTTATTTTTCATCCTTAACTACCATGTGACCTCCCCAACTATTGATGTTGGCTTGATTTTAAGTGCTTGGGAGCTTACGATATAGAATGCTTCAACAAATTCATTAGGAAGTCTAATAGTCTTGTATTTTCATTGATCTCCCTCACCCGCTTCTCAAGACCACTTGTGTTGTGGTTGGAAACACATGTCGGAAGCTGTGATATGGAGTTAGATTCCTCACACAACCTCCCTAGCTTCATATAATAAGCTAAGACATTGAGTTTCTCTTGTTGCGGGAGTGAGGTGGCTCACCCAACTTGTAGGCACGAGGTGAACTACCTTTTTCGAATTGCTCTAGTAGAACACCCATATCTCACAGGTTGATTTAGTGTATGGAAGCTGGTTCTCACCTCCTTGTCAATGGTGGTCTTGAGCCACCTTTTCACCATGGCGTCATAGTGAATCCACGCTCTGAACTATTCATCTCCCTTAATTGGTTTTTATATAGTGACATCGACAAAGCCCATCTTGTGCTTTGTTAGAAAAGAGTTGGTCATTTTGCTTACCAAATCTTTGTAATGTTGATAAGTG